GTGTCGGAGGTTGTGGATGAGTCGCCTCTATCATAGGTTTCTTTTATTTAGAGGAGGAAAGCGGGGACGAAGTTGTTGTGGAAAGGGATGCCAGGGCGGCAAAAGCTTGGTTTGGTGTAGAAGGCTTCCAGCCGTACATGTTTGAGCCCTTGCCTCGCAACGCTGCCAGTTCTGTTAGCTCTACGCCTGCTGAAGACACAGACGTCCATCCCCGTGAACACTGGGACGGAACTCAATGGGAAAGGAAATTATTCTGATTTCTGATTACAACCGTTGCGTATATTAGCTGCGACACATGAATCAAGATGCTATGAGCGAAAACATTTGACAGATGACCGTTGATATATGATTGGCCGAATTTAGGTGTTCAGACTGAACTAACTGGCCTGGATAAGAAAACAAAAATAAAAACATAGATTTTAAGACAGGATTTGTTTTTTTAAATAGAAATTTTCTAAATTTTGGGACAATATGGTCTGATAAAGAGTACATTTATATACATGTTTAAGCCAGAATGATTTTATCATTCTGACACTTCGACACTTCAGTCTTTCTTCTCTTCTAGTCGTTTAGCCTCCAGATAGACGAGTCTGAGTAGTTCCATCTCACTGCGGACCCGAGTCACACGTGGTTTTTAGACGTACAGTGTGAGCAGGTAGATCGCATCAGAGCGTCGGGTCGCTCAGTGTGAGAACATATATGGTGAACTTTTAAACCCTGCGGTTTCGTCGTACGGTGTGAGCTGTGGCTGCGTGCAACGATTGAAAAAGAATCAAAGTGTATGCCCGGCTTTAGCCTGATGTATCAGTTTAAAAACCAGCTTCCATGTATGCTGGATTCACACATTTTCATCTCATCTTATAAGAGTTAAGATGAAGAACATGGAGGTAGTCCCCAAGTATGATGCTGCCACCACCATGCCTTATAGGTGGTGCAATGTTCTTTAATTTTAAAGCCTAAATTCGACTTTTGTGAATAAACTTATTGTTGTGGTAAATCTGTTTATGTTCTGTAACCTCTGACCATGAAACATTTCACCAGAATGCAGATTAAAGTTCAGTCTGCCTTCCCTGTTTCTACTAAAGCCTGTTTTTCTTCTCTGTACGTCTTTGTCCACAGCGGCCCAGAAGACGCTTTTTCTATGAACAAATGCTAAAGTGTTTGAATAAAGCTTAATATCCTGCATTGAACCAGCATATTCAAAAAATCTCAGCTGATTTGTCAGACTAAAGGTTAAAAACTACTTTTTAGCAAATATTACATCCAATTCTTTTATCAATATATCAGTACGAAATTTCAGTTAGTGAGCAAATGATCAAATGAACAGAAATAAAGGCTTGAAAGCAACCTGTGTGCAAGTTAAAAATCTCTGTAGATCAACATTAAACCAATCCAATCATAGACATATATTAATAGATCGTATATTAGCCACTATAGCTAGTGATGTTTGCAACGAGGCGCCACTACTAGGCCTAGAGTCGTACATGCTAATAATAATTACTGGACAAATTGATTCATTCAGATGTGTATGGCTGGTTACTGACGTCCTTTTCTTTGCAGCTCTCTTCTGCCTGCTCTCTGCTTTACTATCCAAGTTTTTTCTCTTTCTTCTCTTCATCTTTTCTTTCCCTCAGTGTTCCTATTTTCCTCCACTCTCATTCAGTCTTCCTATCTTCTTCCTCTCTCCTCTTCGTAGACTTTTCAAAATAGAAATATTAGATACTAATCACAATATCTCATATAAAGGTATAAAATACTGAAAATGGTAATTACCAAAATATTTTGAGCTACAAGCAAAGACAACATAATAGATGAACATTAACGGGTGGTTATCTCTTCCTCCATCATTCTTAGATCATGCAGATCTTGTCTCATTCAGTTTTCCCGTTATTGACTCCTGTTTTTCACGAGGAACTTTCATATAACCAAACTGAGTAATAGAAAAGCACAGCTAATAACTACCTAAAAGAAACTAAAGGGCATAAATCAGTTCTAAAACATCTTTAGTTTAACCCTTGTTGATCCCTGGAGAACCACTTTAACAGATCGGAGTCTCAAAAGGAGTTTTCAATCATCTGTTATATCTAATCCGAGTCTCTTACTTAAGAGAGCTCCAACCTGTGATCTTGTCTTACTTTTTTTAGATTAGCTTAGTTTATGTTACATTTTAGGTCCTCATCCTTAGTAAAACAACAGGGAGCAAAGCTTAATTTTTTTTTACATGGGCACTAACCAAACATTTATCAGAAGGATCAGTCCAATCCATATCAAATTAATCAATAAACACCCTTACTAAACCACAGGGCAGCTGCCATCAGCAGCGACTGCTTCCAACAACAAACTTCCCTTTATTCTTCTTTTTTAAAATGGATGCGTTCTTTTCCCAATTTTTATGTCAACAGCAGCACAGCCACCTACTGTAACAGTTGTTTCTGCACATCATTGTTTAACCCCAAGCAGAAAGGCACCGTAACAACCTTTGAGACATCCATGCTGATGATGCGTAAAGCTTGGACAGGCACTGATTAAATGGACGGCTACCTTGTGCTTACATAAAGCTGCACACATCCTGAATGACGCCGAGTAGATTAATCAGAGGTTTGGAACAGCAAAGAAAGGCAGAGTGCTAATTTTCCACTTGGTTTATTTCGTCCTTAATCTAACCTGAATCAGTCTCTGTTTGAGGTAATTACCTTAATTGCATTGTGCTCTAGCAGCAGCTAACAGCCTGAGTGGTGTTTGGAAGAAGCTGCCATATGCGGTCTAAGTAATGTAAAGTTGTTAATCCCTCAGATTAGCGTCTGCTCTGCCTCCTACAACCAATGCTGGAAGAAATTGTGTGTAGGTCTAAGTCTGGTGATTTGATTTGGGTTTTCGTTCAGGGTTCAGTCTGGTGCTACATGCTCATTAAATGTTTAAAATAAAAACAGTCCTACCGACTTTTTAATATCCAGCGCCTGATAATTGCAGTAGTTAATTACATCTTCATGTTGCATCCTAATTAAGGAAGAAACACACAACTGGTCTGATCCCAGCTAGTTACACTCTGTAAATACACGGCATGTTTGGTTAATGGCCTCTAAAGGAGACTGAGAAACACCCCATTTTACACCAGCTTCTCTGTCCTTCTACCTACTGTAAGTCGACTACGATTAAATTTTTTTCCTAGTCTATACATGTGTTATTATGGTCCAACTCTCCTGTCTGATAACAGAAGAATAGAAGGATGGTGGAGGAATTTAGATCCCTATTATCCTACTAGAAAATCTCACATCTGTGCATTTATCAGTAACCTAATGCTGGTTTAAAATCCTTATTACGAGATTTTTTAGAAAACTGTATCCTGTTTTCGATCAGCTGTAAAAACATAATCTAAACTAAATAAAAAAATAGAATCAGCTTTCAGGTTGTTAAACAGAAGCATGTAGATTGAAACTGTTAGCGTTGCCTCAGGTGTGTGAGCAGCAGGTTCTAACAGCCTGAAACACAGCGACACAAACCGATTCTGCAACAGACAAATAAAATCTGATCTCCATGGAGCAGGAAATGTCAGATCCCATCCTGCAGCCTGATGGTTTATTTGCATTTAGCCTCTCATGTGAAGTGCATGTTATTCTGCCTGACATGTGAGGCTACCCCCATCCGCCTGCCTGCCCTGCAGCTTTTACATGCATGTGTGCTCATACCAACACATCCCTCCTCCGGGGTCTCAGCCTGTCTTCCTGATGATGTATTTTTAGTGTGAGTAACTCTAATTTAGCGTGTGTGTGGTGTTTATGCGTGCGTATGCTAACTAAATGAGCGCTCCATTCAACGCAGCCTTCCCTGCTGACCCAGTCCCAGATTCAATCACAGCCCAATGAAATCAGGGCCCCGCCTACATTTAACTCATCTAACTTAACCTAAAGATGAAAGAGCTGCTGTTGAAAATAAGGTTTCAAATGCAAAATAAATAGACTTAAGGGCGTAAGAGAAATCCTGTCTTGTATTATAAACTGGGTTGGTTTATTGTGGGACTCATAGGGAACGGTCTGCAGTGACGAGCAGAATCTATTCTGTAGGGACTGAATAATACAGAAGATCCAGTTAGTATGTTTAAGTTCTAATAGCCTAAGGAGGTTTATAAGGCAACACCCTGTGGTATAAAGATCTGGTTAAAAATGAGAGCTTATGTTTTTATACGCGTTTTGTGAATGTTTGAAAAGAATGACTGAGAATTTGAGAAAAAAAAAGCAGAACAAATCAAAAAAAGGAAAAAAAAATGGGTAGAACGTTCCATCCTATATCTAGCTATCACTTTATGGTTAAAAACAGCTGAAATAAAGCTAATTTCCATCCACATTCGAACTAACATTAAACATTCATATCTGTATTAATATTGATATAAAAGAAAACACAGCAGGAAAGTTACCCCTTAATGATCAAATGTCTTTAATTTATTAAATCCAGTCAGTTTGAAAATTTTTTTGTTTATAAGGCTTCCGCTTCTGACCTTATACTAATGTTTAGGATATAAAATTGATTCCTAAAGGCAACTTCAGAGGAGCTAATTACAGCCTCCTAAAATCAGATCAGATATTTTTGATTTATGCCCAATATTGAGCCAGGTTCTGCACTATGTTATTCCACGCCACAATGCAAGACGGACAATCAGGAACTATTTGTGGGTCTAGATACGGCCAAGGCGATGAGGAAGTGGGGGGCAAGTTTGTGCGACAACGGAGGGACATGAGGGCCAAGAACAGCGGGGATCCAAGTGGAAAAAGGGTCCCAGCGTTCTTGCGCATCTAGCTCTTCTAGCTGGTCCATCTTCACGAGTCGTTTTCCCCAATGGCGGTCAAAGAAACAAAACAAGCCGGTAAGGAACCAAACAGGAAATATGCATAGAGTAGAGCGGATGTAGATTTGACCAATCAGAGGCCTCCTGTCTGCGGTCACCTACAATTTTGGGGAGGTGCAGCAGAGTGTCTGCGGAAGGGGGCGGGGCATATCTGAGTTAACTGCAACACACACGCAGATGACCTGCTTTCTGTGTATAAACCAGCCTTAATGAGAAGAACATTAAAGCAAAGAGAGCTCTGGTATCAGACAAAATACCGGCATCCAGAGATACTGTATACCAATTCAAATATTGGCATCTGAAGTGAAGAACTGTGGGTTTGAGCATCAGTAGTTCTAACATTTTTTATTGAATGAAGGAAAACATGAGCAGTGAGAAAACATCTTTAATTAAATATCATCATAAACAAGAGAATCTGGTAAACAAGTTAACAGTTCCAGGAAGTGGATTGTTTGTTAGTAATAAGACTTTTTTCCTGATTTTCTAAATGTGTGTGAAAATCCACTCACCAGCGTTGGAGATGCGCCTCCCTCTCTCCCAGTCCTGCTGCTCTCTGTCCAACTGCTCCTGCTGCTCCTTCTCCAGCCTCTCTCTCTCTGCCTTTTCTCTCTCCATCATTTCACGCTCCTGCTGCTCTCGCTCCATTCGCTCCCTCTCCGCCTGCGCCTCCCTCTCCTGGCGCTCGCGTTCCTGCCGCTCCAGCGTCTCCCGCTCCAGGCGCTCCCGCTCCTGACGCTCCTTTTCCTGACGTTCTCGTTCCTGCCGCTCCTTTTCCTGGCGCTCTCGTTCCTGGCGCTCCCGCTCCATCTCCTTCTGTCTCTGCAGCTCCTGGAGCTGCCTGGAGGAACAGAGAGCAGCAGAGAAGGAGATGGTCAGCAAAGAGGAAAACATTTAAAAGAGTAAAAGCAGGAGGGAAAACAGGTGAAAGAGAAATCTCACAAGTGAATTAGACATCATTACATAAAACAATTCATTATCATCATTTCTCAGAGGTAGAACATCATCCTCTTATGCAATCACAGCAGGCAGCTTTATTCTATAAGAAAGAAGAAGCAAAAAAAAGGGTTAATATGACATGTGAAGGGCCAGCATGCGATGAGCAGTGATTGCTCTCCTGCAGGAGGTTCCGAAGATGCAGGATGTGCTGAAACAAGTTCGGCCAGTAGGTGTCAGCAGAGGGCAACAGAAGAACAACAAGGACTCCTGTGAACAGAAGAACCGGCCTGAGGAGGGATGGATCAGACTAATTTACAATGTCAAAACAAACATTTTATAGAAAATTAAAACTCCCACATTATAAAGATGCTTTACACAAAAAAATCTGAAGCGTTTGCATTTTCAATTAGAGCTTTATGACTAAATTCTAAAGAGAAACCTGCAATTTAGTGTCTGCAGAAAATGTAAAACGGCATCAAAAGGAAGACAGTCTGAACACGGACACACTGACAGACATGCTGCCATAATGCAGACTCTATAGGGAACATTTAGACCATTTGGTTTAAAATAACACGTTTTGTAAATGGAAAGTTGAAAAAGAAAAATGTAATCCAGAAATTAAACTTTAAAACAATTCTTAATCAGTGTAAGATTTTGAAAGCAACTTTGCCTTTTTTTCCTGATTTGAGAGTAACTTTCCTGTATTTTTCTTCCTTTATTAAATACATTTCTTTTTCATTTTTCTTTTAGTTTTAAAATTTTTGTAAAATGCTGCTTTTTTTCCTAACTTTATTTTTTTCATGATTTTTTTTTTTTTCAGATTGAGTTTAATGAATTGCATTCTTTCCAAGTTTCATTTTACACATCACATTCTATTGACTTCAAACCTAAACATTAATTCAGGCCAATAGAAATGCTTCTCCCCTCCTCACTCCAGAGGAAAGCCCACCCACAGAAGTCAAAATATAATCTGGAAAAAACATTCTGAATAGGATGAAATTTATAAAACTTTATCTGAAAAATAAAATGTGAAAATATAAAATAAGTAAAAAAAAAAATGTGATGGCATTTGCAACAAAAAAAAAAAAAAATATATATATATATTTATATGAGAAAAGATCTGAGAAAACTGTAAACTTGCTCTCAAAATTTTATATTGATTAATACGTTTTTTTAAAGTTTCATTTCTGGATTGATCTGCTTTGCAACAATAATGGTGCAAAATTCATTCTATAGACATTCAGCAGACAGATGTCCAGAAGGAGTCTCCTTCCTGCAGAAACTCTGGTCATCTTCTTCCCTGGCTTTATTCAGCCTGAGCTTCGCCTTACCCTCCTCTTATTTCATCTCCTCCTAAGTTTATCTGTTTATAGTAAATGTCTGCACATGCACAGTGTGTGAAACCAAGGTTGAACTGACTTGTCTGTGCAGACTAAAGTAGCCAATAAAGTCACTTCTGGAAAAAAAAAGAAGCAGACACTGTGGGAAGTAGTGAACAATCAGGTTCACACATCCAAGGCTCCACATTGATCCTTCATGTTGATGGTGCATAAATCATATAAGGATAGAGAAGACAGGAAACGAGTGCCAGCTCACACAGACACACCACATCAGGTGGCCTGCCGTCACACCTCCTGTTCCTCTGAATGCTGACTCAATCATCAGCATAACGGTCGCTTCATACACACCCTCCTCCTTCCATCCTCCTCCAGGGACGCACATGTGCTCACACTCATGTTTCCACTTGTTTTTTTCACCAACAGATGATGTCAGAGCTGTCAGCAGGTTCATGAGAAATGTTTTGAAGGCTGCTTTCAGTTAAAGGTTACTGGTCTTGTGTTGACACACATCAGAGCAATAGTTTGGTCAGATTTAGCTCTGTTCTAATCTCACTGCTTTGGATTTTTCCTTTAGGATATTCCCACACTGCTGGGAACCTGACATGTACGTCCATGTGGAAGAGGACTTGTAAACATGTCGTGTTCCTGTTTCTTACACTGAAGCTTTCAGGGTTTAATGTGTCTGTAGCTGCAGGGGAATCAACTCCAGTCAGGTTTACACAACGAAAACAGATGCTCATCTATGAAGTGTTCCTTCGGAGCATTTTATTTATTTAGGGATGGTGACCCCGATCTTACGTGTTCTGTCTCTATAATGGTCTGTTTTCCCAGGGATTCACCGTACAGCTGAGACTTTTTTGGTTGACAACCAAAAGAAACCACGCCGCGTTGTCATGGTGACATGTCTTTGGTGTGGCTCCTGCTACTGAGTGAAGACTCAAAGTTAGCCGCTTTAGTGTTGGTGGGAGATTTAAAACCAAGCCACATGAGGCACAGAGATGTTAGGAGCTATTTGAAATGAAACGGTATTTTAAAACTTAAAGGTCACAGCCACAGCCTTCTCATCAAGACAATATAAAAATAAATTATATCCAAAAGACGTCTAATGGTGGAGAATCATAGTATCAATTTTACTGGAATAATAAAACACTGCAAAGAATTCAAATCAAAATAAGTAACTTTTTCTTAAAATAAGGGCATTTTTCTTTCATTGAGGAGGCAAGTGAAACCTTTTGCCAATAGAATAAAACAATTTACATTTAAAATAAGAACAATTGCATTGTCTTATTTCAAGTGCATATAATTTAATTATCTTATTTTAAGAGTAAAATGCCCATTCCATTGGCAAAAAAAATCTTATTTACCTACTTAAATTAAGGGTGAATACATATAATCTAAGACATTTTTACTTATTTCTAGATCCTTTTTGCAGTGCATAAATAAATGTTCTATAAAGTTTGACTGGTCCAGAATGTGTAAACATTTACCTCCAGTTTTGATGCCAACGCCAACCTGAAGGGATTCTGCACCAGAAGTAATAATAATAGATGCAAAAAATGCTGTAAAAGTCCACAAAAGAGTATGAGCAGGGGTGTGGATAGGAAAAGTGGCAGCTAACTTAGCCTAGCTTAGCTTTACTATGGTGGACAGTGAGTAGAAGGAGGCTGCTGGTTACACCAAGCATAGATCTTTAGCAGTGGAAGCTTTTCACCTCCTCGGTTGTGGAGCTGGATCAGTTTTAGCTGTTTGCTTCAAGGTGCTGACTAAGTGAAGCCTGAAGCTGGTGCTTCCCATGACTTATTAGCCAGAAGCAGGACTATGATGACACAAGCCTGTACCTCTGATGCAGGAGTGAACCTGCCTGTACGGTTTAAAGCACAGGGAAAAGGAACTCCTATTACCATTGTTTCATTCATACAAACTGTCTAAGTTCATCTCTTAGGCAGTGATTTGAGACACAATTTAGCAGTACTAAAAGATAATATAAAAATGCATTAAAATAAGTAGTACAAATAAAAAGCATCACATAAACCCAGTTTATACAGTTTAATTGCACAAAAAAAGGAAGAAAAAAAAAAATCTTTTTTGGGGTGATTTAGACTTTAACATTTGTTTAAAATTTCTAACCGTTTGTGCAGGAAAGCAGCACAGCAAACATGTTCTTCAGTGAGATCTAGGTCAGGTTATGAAATATAATCCTTGCAGCTTCTAATTGCTTTGTTTGCTGGTATTATGATGAATTACACAGTTAGCTGCGCTGTCATCAGGCTGCATAACCTTCAGTTTCTGCAATAAAACGCTTCAGTTTCTCTCTTCAGCTGAGGGTTATTTGGGATTCGCTCATTCAGAGACAAAACGGACGGTTGAAAAGCTGAGGATCATGGAGGGAACGAAAGAAAAACATTGGTGCAACCTCGGCTCAAGACACAACAGCTCTGAACTAGCTCTCCTGACTAGTGCACACGCTGGTCTGTCCCAGTTCTCACGGTACCTCAGAGGTTCACTGATGTAATTACAGAAACACGGAGCTAACCTGGATTCCTAGCTGATGGAAGTGTAGCACAGACGGATCTCTGAGGGGTTTACCGTCCCCTCCTCGGGGTGGGGGGGGGCTTATGCACAATAAAACATCCGCTCTGGCAGCAAATGAGTCCCTGTGGGATTCACAGCTCGGTACAGCAGCAGAGCATCTTCATAGTTAAATTTAGCTTACAGTGTGATGGCAGCAGAATTAGTCCAATCAGCAGGATCAGTGGGGGTTCCACCATTTCTTTATTTGCCTCTGCTATTTCCTATTCAAGTACACTTACCATCTGCCTTGCGCTGCACAGTTAACCACAAAACGACTGCTTTGGGTTGTTTCACAAAGTGGAGTTTAATAATTTAACAAATGACTAGTTTAGGGTCAGCTGCAGAGCAAAGCACTTTTTAAAGTCTGAGCTTAGGAAGGATAAAGAGAAGAAAAACGCATAAATAAAACCTTTATTTGGGACAATGTGCTGAAAAACTGCTCCACAGCAATAACACTGAGATGCTGGTGATGTAACCACTGAGAAATATCCACATGTTGTTAACAGAGCTCAGTTTCAGCTGGTTAAAGAAAGCAGATAAACAACCAGCTAATAGATGTTTATACCATAAACCAGGATGATTACTGACAGCCTGAAAACGAGATCGACTGATACAGGTTTTTTTAAGGCTGATGGGGATACGGATTATTTCAGTCTAACCGATCCCAGACATGCTGCCAATTTTTGAAGTCATTATTTATTTTTCTTCCATTTACATGACAAAAAGTCCCAATGATAAATGATACACAAGTCTCCATTTAAACAAAAAGAGAAACACCTGGTACCTGGTGTCTTATTCATAGAATGCAGCGTTAGCAACATTAGCAGTTAGCCATGGTTAGTTTAGCATAGTTCCCTGGCTTCTTACACAAAAGGTGAAAAGTGAAGGTCTGCAGGGGGGTCTCTGATTGGTGGAATAGAGACGGAGTGGAGATAGAAAGGCAGGCTAATGTTAGCTTTCTTCCATGAATGTTAACCCGGGAAGAGGGCCA